GAGTCTTCCCTGTTTTCTAAACAGGCGGTATTAAGTTTGGGAGACTGGTTTCCACATATGCATTTGCAATTAACACTTGCAATTAAGACAAAAAAAAGAAAAGAAAAAAGATGTCTGGAACATCATTATTTTAAGTATCATGTCGGAAGGGGCATCACTACCTTTAAAATACTCTATTTGCCTTATTAGAAGTGCATATATATTTAGATTTGTTGTATAATGAATCATTAAAAATATTACTTATTTTGACCATAAATACACCTAAAATGAATGTATTTTACATATTAAATGCATGTGCTGGTAAGTATTCAGTGGAAGGGGCTTGGAGCCAAAGCAGGATAAGATCTAGACTTTATCTTATTAAACTTTTAATCTGTTGTCATATATTTATTTGTGAGACATTGCTATTTTCAGATTGATACCAGAACTACCAAAACTTGATGAAAGTCTTTTGCTTGAAATTGAAGACAAGGATGAAATAGTATTGTAAGTGTTAATTTATGCCTTGAACATGGAAAGCATATTCCTTAATTATATAACAATCACTTACTGATTTCAGTATTTCAGTTGTTAGCCATATTGTCTGTACCAGTGTCAATTTCCTAAAGTAATATGATATACTATACATTCATTGACTTTGCCTGATGCAGGTATCAAGAATTGTTGTGGCTGTTACTGGTCTTGATATTGGCCAGTGCCATGGACAATGGCTGTTTTATTATCTAGAAAAGAATAACGAGGCAGTTAGCTAAAACTGAGTGCCAAAAAACAAAAAATTAGAGTTAAAATTAAAATTAGCTCCCATAATGCATTTGAAAGTGTCACCCATGCATTATTTTATTATCAAAAATGTCAGCATCCTTTATTTTATGTTTTTGGCATATTACCTCAAACCCTGCAAATGGAAGTGTGCATGGAATCATGGGAAGATATAGTGTGCATTGCCGTGTGATAACTGTCATAAAGGTGATTGACAGTTTGAATCTACCAGGTGTGCTTGTGATTTACATAACAAAGGGTGTTTACAACTTTGGAGGAGAATTGGAATCTACCAGGTGTTATGATCTACTGAATTGGTCACGTTACACAGCTGATAGCAAGATCACATTCTGATTGGCTCATGTGGAAACCCAGGTGGTGACACTGAATCATGCCTATAAATTGGACAGACTCAGGACAGTTGGTGTCCAGTGTATGATGCTACGATATTGTGTGACAAGAGATACAACCATCATTCTGTGAGACTTGTATGAACTGCTCTGCGATCTCCTGCTTTCAGCGGTGCCCTCCAGACTACCAGCGTTCCTCTGCAAGCAAGACTCCTGTATTTCTTCATTGTTGTGTTGCAGAAACCATCGACTGTCGTCCATTAATATGTCCTAGAACAATGCACACTTTCCTAAGCAATCCCCTATTTCTGTGGTTTGCCCTCTCAATTGCGATAAGCATGCCTTGCACTGTGACAAACAATAATCTGTGCCTCTGTCATTATAACATCAGAGTAAGAAAATTGTCAAAGGTATAAAATATGCTGAGAGGCACATATCAGTATTTTTCAAATGATCATGCGACTTCTTTTGACTTGAGGGGTGTTAACATGTGTTATTAAAGCTATAGCAGCAGTTAGTTCTATTCACACCAATGTCAATATATTACTTATAACATACTGTGTTTCATTTCCTCACAGCTATATACTTAAATAATATGTATTATCATGAATTTTTTCCCCCACAGATTTCCAACTGGTGCCGTAATGGAGGTGTTGAATGCAACGTCAGATTACTTGGACGATTTTTTGTCTCCTGTTAGAGTTGGTGATTGTGTTTTTATTGAGGCTTATAGTGATCAATATCATTATACATTCGCATATCTGTCATCATGGAATCTATTGTTGGCTTTCTTCAAAAGTGCAAAAGCTGAGGTCAGTGTCATAATTTATATTTTAGTCCCTGTTCCATGTGCATATCAGTCGTACAAACTTTTTCTGACCAATAATATTACAAAACACTATAACAATGGGAAGGTTTGTTGTGGATATGGAATTTTATTCAAAAAAAAAAGCAAAGTGTCTAGGCTTGAAATTTCTTGGTACCTGCTATTTTGCCAGTCGACTCCATACTTGTTAATTCTTTATGAATTAATTATTACCTTGCCCGTACCATCAAAGATGGAAGGGAAAGGTATATTAAAGGAAAAATTTTGTCCGGCGTTGGCGTCGTCGTCGTCGTTGTTGTCGTCGTTAATAATTGTTATTGTGTGCATAATAACTTTACTAATTCTATTCCAAACTTTATCAAACTTGGTCACCTTATTCATCAGTATAGTCTTCCCTGAGTTTGAACAACTGATGTCCTGTATGAAAATATCATGCAAAAATTGAGAAAATCTGATAAAATATTTTGACTGTTTCTACTTGACTGATCACTGGTGATACACATCAAAGGTCACTGATCTCAGTGGAAATGTGCATTGTTGTATGTGTTCAATGAAGCAAATGATTTATCTTGTAATAATATCCTTGGTAATGTATCTCAGAATCCCATACTGGGTTTCAAAACCAACTCATGGAGAGATTGCACAGTCTGATACACATTTGCAAACCTACCAATAAAATCGTTACAGAAAACAAGATGTCAGAAAATCAATATAAGCACTGCTATGAACTGGGTGCCAAACTTTGATCAAGATCTGAAGCTAATAGAAAATCTGTTTAGTCAAAATTTATCAAATCAAAAACAATACATAAAAAATACATTAAAAGCAAAACATTTCATCCACATTTTAAAAAGAAAATTATTCTAAAATAAATGTATTCTGTATTTGACAAACAGTTCATTCGACAAATGAAAACTC